TACCATTACAATCCAAACAGGTAACCCGGTCTTGATGACCTCTTAATGGTGGTGCTACAAAGTACTTCCCATGTCTCCAGTTCATTGTTAAATGATGTGCCCTCATGTAAATACCTTTCCACTTGCAAACTGGTTCCAAACTCCCTGACGGATCATCCGTAAAGACAAATGTTGGTGAGGTCTTGGATGTGCTCGGCACACAGGAACTGAATGGCTTTAGTTCAGTAAGATTTACGTCTTTTCCATATTTCTCCCATCGATTCCTCTGACAGAAATGTAGCCTACCATCATACAAATAAATTGTTATGGAGAAACGTCATATGATGACGATGATGATGACGATGATAATAATAACAATAATAAAAATAATAAGTTTTATTCATTCACAGAGATTCAGTTTTTTCACAAAGATTGGTCTGTGTCTTTAAAATTAAATGATGACAATTATGATGATGATGATGATAATAATATTATAATAACATTTTCATTTATTCACAGAGACTGTAATTTTACAAATTACAATTTGTAAAATTTAAACAAAAGTTATCTACAACATACTGGAAATGTTTGACAAAATTTTTATGGAACTCTTTAGATCTTCAGCATTTTTTGCTTCATCTACTAAATTTCAAACTTTTGCTCCTTGATAAATAAATTACTTTTTGTAGTATAGAGTATTTTGATTTTTTTCTTTTTATAATGATTATACTGTAACTGTAAAAAATGGTAACCACTTGGTTAAACTCCATGGTTACAGTGTCAAATTTATTTAAAAAAGTATGAGGAAAAGAATGTTCCATTTTCTTTTAAGCGACATCCTCATTCAGTTTTTGTTATTTGTTTTTATTTACTTGTTTGATAATAGGTAATAATTCATACCAGTGTATATCTAAATTCGTGTGATGCCTCCATACTTTGTTGCAGCATGCAATGCGACAGAAGTCGGCAACATCCAAAAACCCAAATAGAGTTTCGATAACTTCATCAGGAAGCAATTGAACAGGGTCAATACCTTCTTCTTTTCTGTCAAGCAACTGTGTAAGGTCCATACCTTCTTTCCATCTTTCAATCATGTACTACACACACATAGAGACACAGATATATTTGATTATCATTGTCAGAGACATAGAAAGCCTAGAGTCCAGGCTACGTAGGTAGGGAGGATTGTTACCCAGCAAGCAAGTGGTGTGGAGATAGGGCTTTTCCGTCTCCTCCCCACAAGCAAGCCTGCCCTCCGTCATTGCTTGCTCCTCCCCCTATAAAGTCCAGGCTAGGGTGCAGGTCAACTCGGCCACAAGTCAACTCGGCCACAGTCAACTCGGCCACAAGTCAACTCGGCCACAAGTCAACTCGGCCACAAGTCAACTCGGCCACAAATCAACTCGGCCACAAAAA